TTCCTTAGTTTTATATCTTATAGTTTAAATTACACAGAATTGCAATTACTATTTTTCTAAGATGCAAATCTGATCAACTGGTATACCATACAAAGCTTTACTAACGTAATGGCTTCCCTCCCCAGGAGTATAATAAAGCCCTGACATATTATTGAAGAACCTAGGCATTTTCTGCCTTTTGTGATTCTGCCTTAATTGCTTGGCTAGGGGCTGTGTGAACTCCAGGCCTGATAGTCTACGTGACACCTGGCGGGTGTAGGCAGACCACTCCTCAGGAAGGAGGTACCTGAATAAACCACCTTTATGCCTTAGCACTGACTTTAGACTTGATGATTATCTGGGGATTTCAAAATCCAGCACAACATCTGGGGGCTTGTCCGGGATCCCCAGGTCATCAAGAGTATGGCATGTGTGGTGAGTGTTGCCTAACTTCTCTTTACCAGCCAATTTTATCTGATCGGCTACCCTTTTCAGCTGAATTTTGTTTTTGTGCCTAGTATAGGGACAGGAAGCCCTGAATGGGTTAAGTGCTTGCCTGGTGAGTGGGCTGAGAGGCCTCTCCAGGCAAGGCACCGTTTTTGCTAAGGAGGACTAGTTGTGTTCCCTCTCAATGATTTTTCTTTTAGTAGGCCTACGTTGTTAACCGTGTGTCTTTCTTGTCTTGAAACTGTTGTGTGTTTTTGTGTCTGCTGGGTATAAGTTAAATGCTTGCTAGGATAGTTAAATTGGCTGCAAAATCTTGGACTGTGAGAACTTTGTAAGAGGGCCTCTTACCTAGATTAAATTGAACTAATGAGTGGTGCGCCTAAATTCTAATTTGAATACAGCGAGAGAAAGTTTCTCTAGATTAATTTTCTGAGCAAGCAGGATGGCCAAAAGTCTCCGGAGAGTTTGGGAGTCGGCAGCTGACATTACAGAGTCTGGGTGGACACGTAATTCGGCTCTGTCGGCTGGGATCTCTTGGTGACGACTGGGGTCCCCAAGGCCAACGTCCCTGGGTCCAGGTGCCTGACCTGAGGGACTGTGTGCTCTCCCTGGTTCTGAGCTGGACGAACCTGCTTGCCTGGGTTCCGAGTCCGATGAGCTTGGGGGTAACCTAATTGGGTGTCAGATTCGGTGGGGTTTCTGCCTGGGTTCCGAGTCTGATGGTGAAGGTGACCTTCTAGCTGGGTTCCGGATTCCAGGGGACTGTAAGTTGGTTGTTCCAAACTCGAGGGGGAAGAGTCGGTGCCCTTTCCACCTAGGTTCCAGGTCCGAGGGGCTGTGATGTCTTTGTCCTGAATTGGATGTGTGTTACTTGTCTTTGTTCTGTAGCCCTGCTCTCATCTTAGGCTTGAAGTCTGTGAAAGCTCCCTCTGCTTCCTGGTGTTGCCAGTCAGCCTCAGTTTATCTTCTGGGCATTGATATGCATATTTAGGAGGACCTGGCTGAGAACAAACTCTTCACCACCCCCCTGCTGGGGAGAGGTTTGACTTGATTTAACTCCATCTGGCCTGAGAGATTTTCTTGCCTTTGCCATCAAATTCAACCTACTTGCTAGCATGCTCAGTTAAATGTACATTTAACCAACTTACTTGAATCTCTAAATTGTTCAAAATTCTGAACCAAGTCTCCCGACTTTGGGAATTCCATAGGATCCATGGAACTCTCAAAAATAGAGACAACATTTGGATAATTTAACTGTTATTTGAAATACTCTGGATTATAATCGCACAATGTTATGAAACTGCCAAGTTGGTTGCTCCATATGTTTAATATTTACATGGTTACAGAGAATGGATATTGATGTTTATTTATGTCTATTGGTCAAAATATCTTTTTAATCACGAAACTGATTCAGCTTATAAGTTATCTGTGTTCTTATTTACAAAGTATTATTTCTGAGACTTTGCCTTACAGGAAGACAACGAATTCTTAAAGGATGCGTGGTAAAATTGTTTATATTGTGTGCATTTTCTAAGTATTTAACCTTTAAAGGAACTGAAGTTTGATTCCTTGTCAGAAAACAGTGTCATAATATCTTTTATGTTGTTTTCATCTTATTGATGACTAACCTGCTAACTAGGTTCAGTAGATTCTTAGGCAGCCTCCTAAGACAACAGCCAAGCTGAAGCTCTTCCATACCCTTGACTTCAATAAAATAGAAGATGAGAAGATGCCCCGGGCTATGGAAAAGGGAGGGGCATGCTTGGAGCCTGGCCCTTGAAGAGTTTGGGACTTTGACTTTGTCCCTGCCATTGTGATTCTTAAGAAGGGGGATGTTCCCAAGTCAGCCAGGAGGAAGTAACTGCTTCTGGTTCTGAAATGGGTTTGCATCTTAAAATGTTTTCATGGATTGACTTGATGATTATCTAGGGATTTCAAAACCCGGCACAACACTATGATACATAAAACACTTCTATATGCAAACATTGCCCACATTTCCATGTCTTACTCCCCTTGGCTTCCTCCTTGCACCTCACTAAGCTATTTGTTCCCTACAGAACTTTGTTTCCTTGTCCTCTGGTTGCTTCTCCTACTTGGACTTTCCTTCCAACATTAACTCAAACTGCTGGTCTGGTGACCAACTCTGCCTTCTTCCTATGGCTATTAATGGTAAGTTCCCTAGAAGGACCATTTCTGAATGAAACCCTGGAGGGTAGAGACCTGTCCTATGTGACAGCAGCACTCAACACACATCAATTTGCCTATTACAGTGTCTATCTGCCCTTTTTACTTCTTCAGCTGTCACCCCCAGGTTGTCTGCCAGCTCCTGAGCACGCACTGTGCCCTGTGCATTTCAGCATCACTGTGTCTTGAAACAACATCAGGCAAACAATGATGCTGAAGAGCTGGTGGCTGCTAAATCAACGAGAGCTGAAGTTCCAACCCGCAAAGGTGATGCATCAACAAGAAGCAGAAATCAGAAAGTCCGTGGAGCTAGAAGGCCACCCAGAGACCAATGAGAAAAAAGGAATAGAATGGATCTTCTGTAACTCCATCTCATAGAATGGCAGTTTAAGAAAAGGTCAGAGGATTTCTACAACAACTGGAGCGCTTTGTAGATGAGGAACTCCAGGAAGCTCAGAGACTCAACACTTACTGCGTTACTATCCCATGATGCTCCAGGATCAGACCTCATACTGCCATAATGCTGCTGAAATGCTGACATGCTGCTGCCTACCATAGAAACTATGCTTCATGAAGACAAAACCAGCCATGGCAGCACTTGGTAAACACAAATGATTACCAACTTACAGAGGCTTCCCTTGTCTTTAAGAGTGTTCCCAAAACCAAAAATGTCTTCCTAGAAATGTTACAAACTCTTCATGAGACAAAAAAATTTCACGAAATTCTCGCCCAACAAACAGACATTCTGGATACGGTGTCAACAGAGAGGCTTGAAAGTAACCTGGTCAAAAGTCAAGTGACCAAGCTGCTCTCCAGAACTGTCCTTCCAACAACACCTGCAAAGAATCTACTCCCCACAGCTTTGTTAATGTGACATATTTTGGAGCTTCAGTCATTTTAATGTCACCGAGCATTTGTAGGAAAATAATGCCATATATTTTTATTGAATTATTTATTAAATTTCATTATTTATGAAGATAAGCACTTTTCACATTTTTGACTCATCTGTGGTGCTTTGGCTGCTCTTTGTCAAATGTTTCGACATTTTTTTCCTTAACCAATTGATACTAATTGTTTATTGAGCTCTTTATATTCTGGTTCAGTGTCGTTAAACATGTCAAATGATAAATTTATGAGGACAAATCATCTCAATTTGTTCTCTGCCTTTTGAGTTAAAGACCCTGCCCACCAAAGAGATTAAGTCTATAGTTTTTTCCCCAAGTACTTGACAGTTTTGAGGCAAGCATATTTAAAAACTTCACTAGAATTAGAACAGAGGAACAGGTTTTTAAAGATTTATTTATTTACTGGAAAGGCAGATTAGATTTACAGAGAAGGATAGACAGAGAAAAATTTTCCATCTTCTGGTTCACTCCTAAAGCAGCTGTAAAGGCTGGAGCTGAGCCAACCAAACCCAAGAATCAGGAGCTTCTTCTAGGTCTCCCACATAGCTGTAGGGTCTCAACGCTTTGAGCTATACTCTATTGTATTTCCAAGCTACAAGCAGGGAGCAGAATGGGAAATGGAGCAACTGGGATACGAACCAGTGTCCATAATGAATCCTATTGCTTGCAAGGAATCCTGTTGCTTGCAAGCCACTGCATTGGGTCCTAGGTACATAGTTTGAAGTGGAGCCTCTCATTTCTTTCTCAAGCCTTTGGCCAGTTTCCCCAAGAAATCTCTTGTCAGAGGAGTCATTCTCTCCCCCTACAAATCTCAAAATCTGATTGACCATACATGAGATCTGTGAGTACATCTGGCTCTGAATTTTGGCAGGGAGATTAATGAAGAATAACAAGAAGGCAAAGGCAAAGCAGTCTTCTCTGCTCCCTCACCCCTCCTATCCTAGAGCTCTCTCACTCTAGCCTCATTCCTTTACCTTCCACGATACACACCAAAAACCAAGGCCACAGTCTTTCTGTTCTATGCATTGCATATGCAGCTACAAACGCAGGTTCATACAAGTCACAGGCATCCCAGCTCCTAGTTTCTTGATATCCATCTGCAGGCCTCTTCCACTACTCCTGTCCCTTCCAGTGGGAGTCTGTGAACACTCCAAACCTGGCATCTGCTCTCCCTGGGGATGCAATCACGATGCAGCTTTTCTTAAATAAGGTGTCAAGCTCACTATAAACTTCCTAGAAATCGCTGACATGTGGGTAACATCTATTCTTAGTTTTCATCATAAGGGCAGATATATTTTGTCCTCATATATTCTGGATCTCATTTCAACAAGAATGCGGGGGTGAGTGAAATGGGGCACCTGTGTTCAAGTATTTATCCTGCCAGAAAGCCATGTGGTTTTGTAATGAACAACCCATCCTGTCACTTGCAAATACCAAGAACAACCAGTGCTGGGTGACATGCAGTAAACAACTCATACACATTACCTTTAATGGCTGCTAAATAGCCTCGGAGTTCTCGCTGAAGCCTGGTACCCTCTGCCTGAAAAACACACAAGCACAGAGATGCTAAACATCTTGTCTTCATTTTTACAAACAAGCATAAAAGCAACAACACATCTCAAAGTAATTTTTGCCAGGGAGTCATTCTTGGAAGAACATAAACATATGCACACAGCCTAAACAAAGCAGTATGTACACCAGTTAAACTATTTATAAAGAATTTACTATGTTTAGAAGAAAAGGAAAAGGAAAGTAAGATTTTACTAAGAGTAGAAAGTATGATGTATTAGGCTCCTGCATATTCAAGACAATTGGACAGACAGGGCACAAAAATATGAAATTAATAATTGTGGAACTAGCCATATACAGTGCCTCAGGAATTGCAATATGGTTAATTCAGATTCGAATGTGCTGTGGGTATACTGCGCAGTCAGTGAAATTACAATGGATGTTGAGGAGTTATAGTCAAAAACATGTCTCACTAATAATTTTATCACATGCTAAATTATAATGATTTTGATATATTCAGCAAAACTGCATCACTAAAATTAATTTCTCCTGCTTCCTTTCTATGTTTAATGTAGTCCACAGTAAATTTTTTTAAAGAATTATTTATTTTGATAGGAAAGGCAGATATATACAGAGAGGAACAGAGACAGAGAGGAAGATCTTCCGTCTGATGGGTCACTCCTCAAGTGGCCTCATTGGCTGGATTTGAGCCTATCCAAAGCCAGGAGCCAGGAGCCTCTTCCAGGTCTCCCATGCGGGTACAGGGTCCCAAGGCTTTAGGCTGTCCTCGACTGCTTTCCCAAGCCACAGGCAGGGAGCTGGATGGGAAGCAGGCCACTGGGATTAGAACCAGTACCCATATGGGAGTGTGCCCATATGGGAGTGTGCAAGGTAAAGACTTTAGCTGCTAGGCTATAGTGCTGGGCCTGCCCATAGGAGATTTTAAAGTATGTCTTTAGTTTGTATTTCCATTGGACTGTACTGAAATTAAAGAAAAATTAAAGTAGTGATTTTGAAATTTAAAGGTTTATTTTAGCTTGGTTCCTGAGACCCTGAGATGCAGACTGCACACAAACTAATTCAGGTGTGAATTCATCCAGGACCTGTCAAGAAAATAGTGAAGAGAGCCATTGCACAATGCGTTACACCTCCGTGCATAATTAGTTTCAGTCATACTGGGAAGGTCTGTAAGTCAATGTCAACCAAACACCCTGAAGATGCTCTAACTGAAGGGCAACGGAATTGGGGCATTTGATCTTCAGCTATTTTCAGTCACTGGGTGAGTGAGAACATTATCTCCTCCTTTTGTGTACACAAAGGCTGAGAGGTCCCCAGTAGCTAAAGAAAGCATTCGGAAAAGAGTCAGCAGTGTTGGAGGTTGCAAAACGCTGAAAGGCTTCAAAAGGTCAGGTGCTAAGAGCACAATCTGCCCTCCATGACACTGCAACTGGAAAATAAAAGCACATTCACTTGGGGTCAGTGTTGTGACACAGGATTTTTAAAAATTCTTGTTTTTGTTATGATACATTTTTTTTAAAGATTTATTTTTATTATTTTTTCATTGGAAAGGCGGATATACAGAGAGGAGAGACAGAGTGGAAGATCTTCCGTCCGATGATTCACTCCCCAAGTGAGCGCAACGGGCCGATACTATGCCAATCCGAAGCCAGGAGCCTCTTCCGGGTCTCCCACGCGGGTGCAGGTTCCCAAAGCTTTGGGTCGTCCTCTGCTGCTTTCCCGGGCCACAGGCAGGGAGCTGGAAGGGAAGCGGGGCTGCCGGGATTAGAACCGGCGCCCATATGGGATCCCGGGCCTGCTAGGCGAGGACCTTAACCACTTGCGCCACCGCGCCGGGCCCTATGATACATTTTTGTATGTAGAGAGATTTCGTCTTTGTTCTCCCCTCTCTCCATTCCCGCCCCTCCCACAGCATTTCTCCCTATATTATTACAGTGCTTTAGTTCTTTAGTAACAGTTCCAAGTTTAATATTCTGCTATTTAAGTACATTCATGGAATTGTAGGTATAGACAATGATGGAAAAAGATGCACACATTCCACTTAGGAAGCACTGTCTCAGAGTGAACTTCGCCTGTTCTTGTGATGCAACTTCTTGTCAATGCACATCCCCTGGGGGGAAGCAGATGATGGATTTGGTGTTAGGGTTTTTGCTATCCGCATGTGAGACTTTCCTGCAATTCCTGACTCCTATCTGCTCTGGACCAAATCTGGCTGTTGTGGGGATTTGGGAGTGTGAACCAGTGAGTCAAAGATCTCTCTCTTTCTCTCTATTTCTCTCTCTCTCGCACACACAGTGACCTGAAAATTAATTCTGAAAAACTTGCACTCTAATTACATATTCATTTAATAACATTTCACAGATAATAACTTCATCTTAATTGAGTCCATAGTAAGGGAGTAATTATAAAATTCATATTCCATTAAAAAGACACCCATTAGGTTTTTTTTTCACACAAACTACATATAGTAAAGAAGTAAAATGTATCATCAAAAATACTGTTATTGAAAGGCAGATTACATTTAGCTCTACAGCAATGTTACTCAAGTGTTTGGGCTATGAAAGAAGCATAAAACACCTATGATATTTAAAAACCAATAGTGATTAATGCCAAGAAACTCTGAAAACAAATGCTTGGTTGTTCAAAACCTTTTATTTATTTGAAAGGCAGTGAGAGGGAGAGAAAAAGAAGAGAAGAGAGACAGAGAAAGACAGAAATTTTTCTATCTAGTAGTTCACTCTTGAAATAGATGCCACAGCCAGACTCGGAACAGGCCAAAGTCAGCACTTAAGAACTCCATTCTGGTCTTCCGCATGGGAGGCAAGGGTACAAGTACTTGGGCCACATTTCTGCTTCCTTCCTAGGCACGTTAGCAGGAAGGTGGATTGGAAGAAGTATAACCAGACTTGAGCTGGCACTCTGATATGGGATCCATTGTGCCATAATGACAGTACAAAGTGTTTTGTCTCATGTATATACTTGACTCCAAATGCATTTCATATAGCACTTGTTGAGGGCAGATATAGTGACATTATTTCTATGAAATCTATGTAGAGTTCAGGGAAGGATTTTTGTGGGGATTTTTTGTACATTTTAATTAAGCTCAAGATATTTTTCTAGCTCCGTAAACTCAGGTACTATCAGATACAAGTTTAGTGGCAGTAAGGCATGGTGCTATGCACTATGGCAAAAATCGTGGTTGGCCTCTAAAACATTCTTATGTAGTAAGAATGTACTTCTAGAAAAGAAAGTACTTCTAGAAAAGAAAATACTTCTCTAGAATGTAGAAGAGTGCAGAATGTAGAATAATGTAGTACAAAAGTTCTTCTAGAGGAAAACAAAGAAAAAATGCTGAGAAAAAGCACCTGAGTGAAGGCAGAGTGTGAGGAAGACGCTGGGAAGACCAAGGAAGAATCAAATCAAGACAGACTTTTGGACAGAAAGAAGTCTTTCCACTGAATATCTAATATGTAAGAGGCCCTGTGTCAGATTCTGAGTTTAAAACTCCTGTCTCCTGATCTGTGGTTTTGCTTTCTGTAGTTTCAGCTATCTGCAGTCAACCACAGTCTGAAAATATGCATGAAAATTCAAGAAATAAACAATTTCTAAGTTTTAGATCATATGCCATTCCAAGAAAGATGCTAAATCTCTTCCCATTCTTTTCTATAGCATCTGGAAGGTGAACTATCCTTCATTGAATTTACCTACTCCATTTACGCACTGACTGCTTATCAGTCATTTGGAAGCCACATTAGTTATGAGAGTCCCAATACTGCAGTGTCTCTTTCAAGATACCATTATTTTGTTTAATAATCAAGAATAATGATGCCAGTAATTGAGTTATGCTAAGATAAGCCAGACAGTATTTCCTTTTAATAAAAATGTACAAGTTATCAATAAGGAAAAAAAAACTTATGTTGAGGTTGCTAAGATCTATGCTAAGGTGATTTTTTAAAAAAGATTTATGTATTTTTATTGGAAAGTCAGATATACAGAGAGTAGGAGATACAGAGAGGAAGACCTTCTATCTGATGTTTCGCTCCCCAAGTGGCTACAATGGCTGGAGCTGAGTCAAACTGGAGCCAAGAGTTTCTTTCTGGGTCTCCCACAGGGCTGCAGGGTCCCAAAGCATTGGGCCATCCTTTACTGTTTTCCCAGGCCACAAGCAGGGAGCTGGATGGGATACAGGATCGCCAGGACATGAACCAGCACCCCTATGGGATTCCAGTGTGTGCAAGAGGACTTTAGCTCTTAGGTTACCATCCTGGGCTCACTAAGGTGAATTCATAATGTTACCATAGATATGTCTGAAGATTTTTCAAAACTTTCATGAAAGATGGAATTTAGAGAATTTAGTACAAAGTTCTGAAAATTATATAATTTTTAAAATAAAATCAATATTATCTCCCTGAAGACTTCTGATTTATAAAGGAAAACAATACATAGTTGGTTTAGAATTATCTGCAGTTTGAGGCATGTCCTGAGGCATGGAATGGCTTCCTTTCCATAAGGACAGGTGATTATATACAAAATGTTTAAAAGTGCAGCTTTAGGAGATGCTGCTACAGACCACAGGGACTTTACCTCAGCAACATCAGACTCACTGCAGATACCCATGCAACATGTATAGAAATGTCTTGTGCTACTTCTGAGACAAAGCCATAAAGGCCACGCTATGGTCCTGCTATTGCTTTTCTTACTGTCATGAGTCCCATAATGTTCCAGTTAGGGGTTCTTTCCCCAACTATCTCTCCAGCGATGAGAACGTGAGCACAGCTGCCGTTCATATCTTCATGAGTAGGGAATATACTTCTGTGGCTGACAGGCAATTAGTTATTTCTTTCACAGCAATAACCTGACCTGAGCTGCCTTAAAATAAGTCAGCACTGATAGTAGAAATGCTGCAATGCACACAGAACTGGAACCTAACAGAGGAAAAAAAAAGCCCATGAAGTTAGTGGGCCAAAAAAAGCTATAAAAACATTACAGAAACATTTCAGAAAGCAAAGCAAC